TATATATATATATATATATATATATATATATATATATATATATATATATATATATATATATGTGTGTATGTATAATTTAGAAGATTATATCCCTCTTAACTTTGTCGGGTTACATATAAAGAATGCTTTTACATAGTTTGAAAAGCTATTTGTCCGACGGATCTTGCAAGTTTTAGAATTGAGAAAAAAAGACAAATTTTGCCGTTTTACGGGTATATTATTTGGACACAAAATTCGCAAAAAAAGGACATAAAAATATTGTTGAAACTCTACGCAAGTTTTGTCTTTGTTAATTTTTACTTAATGCCAAACTAGTTCGAAAAAAAGAGCGTTTTGATGTTCAAGTTTAATCGTTTTGACCGGCTAATTTAAATCAGCAATGTAGTATAATCAACAATTTTTCATAATAACGAAACAACAAAGACGAAAAAAAACGTAGTTCCTTTTATTAGTGCTGAAAACAAGTTTTTTTTTCAAAAAAAATGAAGCGCATGCCAATTAGAATTATCAATAAAAACGGAGCAAAAAGTTTAATGAAAGTTTTGCGTAAAGCAGTTTTTTTAGCTTTCGCAATAAAAAACACTTACAACTGTCAAAAAAGGGAAGGAAAACGCATAACTGAAATTTTCAAATTTGGAAATTTTATCGCCTCATGCAAAACTTTTCTTTTACGTAATAACTCACTACCACATTTCACTACTTTAACTTCGAAATTCACTACATTAACTTCGAAGTCAAATCTCAAACTGTAGTACCCGGGTTGACCAAAACTTCTAATCATACAATTTCCATTTATGAAAAATTTCTTGTCATACAATTCCATACAATGCCATACGTACAGAACATTGTATGAAATCTCTATGATAAAGATTTTTCCATAAATGAACATTGTATGATAGGTGTTTTTCCATAAACCAAAAAACTTTGATTTTTTTTTTCAAAATTTAGTTTCTGAAAAGTTTTTGGTTGTGTTCGCAACCGAACACAAGTAACAAAGACCTTGGTTACTCAAAACACCAAAGGTGGACGGTCTTGCATATTCAATGCATAGCAAACGATCTGAATGTGGATGTTTTTCACAATTGATATAACAAAAGTAACGAACTTTTATTTTTTGGCAAAATTTTTTTTATGATGATTATTTTAAATTTTTGAATTTTCAAGTTATCAGACATTGATCAAGGCTTACATTAACACTCCATACAAAAGAAATAGGAATTTTTAGCGTTTTTGAAAAGAAAACTTAAGTGAAAAGAAAATAAAAGCCAATTTTATCGTATCCAGGACTACGTTATGCACACAAAATATTAAATTTTGCATGCAAAAAAAAATTTCGAAAAATGTTTGTTTGCGTACGAAATTCAATTTGCGGTTGAAAAAAAAACAAAAAATTTTTTGGGCCAAATTTTCAAAGTTAATTGAAAATTTTTTTGTGTCGCCATCAAAAAAATGCCAGTCATACAATTCCCATATATGGGAATTGTATGATAAGCACTTTTTTCAAAAAAAAATGAGAACCTCAGTTTTTTATCACCAGACTGTTTTATAAGAATCAAACATCCACAGAAATAAGTTTATACCAGTTTTCAACCATTTTTAGAAATTGTATGAAAATTGTATGACAAGCATTTTTCCATACACTTGATGTATGGAATTGTATGATAACCATTTTCGGTGTATGGAGGTCAACCCGGGTAACCAGTGAGATAACTGCCACTTAACCTGTGGGTGTTCTTAAGAGAATCCCTGGGTACAGTTTTCAGGTAACAAACTTAAAATTTTGAAACAAGAATCAAAAAAGGTTTATAATGTGTGAGTCATGGAAAAGTGTATATTATACCAGTTGTTTTGAAAAAAAAAATTTTTTTTCTCATTTTTTTCTTCAGGTATAAAATTTAATACGTTTCCAAATGTGCACTTTTTATGATAAGAATTTTGAATTTTGGAAGGCTCGCTGGCTCATCTGGTACATAGTTTCATTCCGATAAGAGCTCTATCTAAGTGCTAATCGAAGGGTGCGAACTTGTGAGGAAAAGCGAACAAGTGAGTCTCATTGAAAGTTGCGGCTTTAGTCTGACTAATTGAGAAACAAAAAACAAAACAAACCTCAAAAATATTAGTGAAAAATCAAGAAATTTCTCAACATCAAAGTTCAACATTTTGTTCAACATCAATTTTTTTTCAGCAAAGATTGCCTGAATTTTGGAAGGCTCGCTGGCTCATCTGGTACATAGTTTCATTCCGATAAGAGCTCTATCTAAGTGCTAATCGAAGGGTGCGAACTTGTGAGGAAAAGCGAACAAGTGAGTCTCATTGAAAGTTGCGGCTTTAGTCTGACTAATTGAGAAACAAAAAACAAAACAAACCTCAAAAATATTAGTGAAAAATCAAGAAATTTCTCAACATCAAAGTTCAACATTTTGTTCAACATCAATTTTTTTTCAGCAAAGATTGCCTTGCAAGGTTTTACATACGTACTATGAATTGTTTCTATGCCTAGGTATGTTTTTGCCAAAAAAGGCCTTTTAAAGCTTTTTTGATTTTGTGTCTTTTAAAGCTTTTTTGATTAATCTTCGTAAGCAAAAAAGTTTACTTTTAAAAGCTTCACTTTGAAGATCCAAAGTGACTGAGGAAAAGATTAATCACGCCCCACTTCTTAAGAAATATTTTGAGAGCCGTTAAAGTAAAACCAACCCGAATAGTTTCAGACGTTTTTCATTAGTTTTCAACAGCGAAGACTTTGACAGCTCGTGATTTTTAAATTCATGAACTGCTCTAGAATCAACAATCATCGTCGGGCCTTAAGACTGAAGTTTTCAAAAAGGAACAAGACTGCTCGTATCAGGGCAAAGCCCTGAATGTTCTGACTGCCTTTTAAGGTTTATCGAGCAGCAGTAATAACATAAAAAAATAAATGAAATAAATTAAAATGAATTTTTTTTTTCTAAAATTTGAAATCTTTTATGAAAATCATCATCCCACACGCCATATAAAGTACAAAAAGATAGATTTCGTTCCTTGTAACAAACCAATTATGGCAATTAAGCTTCTTTTAACCAATTTGGAACGATTTCTAAGACGGGTTAACTCTCCGCTTACGCGTTAATAGCGCGAAATATATCGCGCGTTAATTGTCCCAAATTGGCCAAAATTGCAATCTTTAAACCCCCATAACTTTACTAAAAATGATCACAGGTAAAATATCTTTTCAAATTTGAGCTCAGGACAACAATACCTTTCTAATGATATAAAAAAAATTCCGTCAAAAATGGCTAGTTAAAAAGTCGAAATTTGTCTGAAGAAAAAAAAACCCACCCCGAGCACAAATATTCCGTTACTTTCGTATCGAAAGTCGGAACAATAAAGCTATTTGAGATTTTTATTTTTTGAAACCTTGACGATTGAAAAAAATTTTATGAAAACACTTTTTTGATTTTTTGAACAGCTTTCTGTAATAGTTGAAGAAATATTAGAAAATTTTTTATTTAACCGAATGGATACTAATTGAGCAATCTCATTGAAAACTCGTTATTATAACTTGGCTGAAATTAAGATCTAATCAATTGAGAACAGTTTAGTATAACCAGTTGCTGAGCGAATGGGTAATTTTTTTGCGAGGTAACAATTCGTGGAAAGTGACAACAGGTCGAAAACGACAGTTCATTAAACTTACGAAAACCACCGTTGATTCGAAGAGCAGTTTAGTTGAATAAATTGAAAGGTATTCTGAAATCATCTGATTTAGCAATGCGCTGCGGTTCCAATGCCAAGCTTTAGTGGTTAAAGGATACAACTTTTTTGATGCCATGATGTTGACCCAAAATAGTCAGTTTTGCAGTTACGAAGAACTGTCGGTTCGAACTGTAAATGTCATTTTCGACCAATTGTCACCTTACCAGTCTGTGTTGATCAGACTTCGGCTAAGGAAAATCTTTGTCGTATTTATTATTAATCACAATATCTTAAAGTAATTGAGTACCGTCAGCTTGACGACCTTTAGTTGAATAATTAAAATTTTTTAAATATTGGCGCTCAACTCAATCAGAGATTCAAGTGTTGGTAATATTTCGGAAAGCGCTGAGATGAAGTTTGCTGAGCGCTGAGCCAGGTTTTCTTTTAATATCTGATATTTGGTTTAATGGCACATGTCACAAGTTAGCTAATATTACACCGACTGTGCTTTGGTAAGCGCAATCTTCTCACTTCAGTTCTTTTATGCCACAAAAAAGTTCTAATTCTTTCGCTCAATCAAAAAATGTTATTTCCGATTTTTTTTATTATAAGAGAAAGATTTGTTTTGCTACAAAAAAGCCATCAAAGCCAGTGTACGACTTGAGCAGTAACTTAAAAGGAGGAAATGGGGGGTCCGTATTAATACAAAAGGCCGGGTTGATCGAAACTGATACTCGTACATTTTTCATATATGGACAAATGCTAGCCAAACACTTTTCATACAATTCCATGAGTACAGAAAATTGCATGAAAGGTCTATGTTTAGTGATTTTATGGAAACTGTATGACTAGAATTTTTCCATAAACCAAAAAATTTGCTTTTTATAAAATTTTGTTTCTCAAAAATTTTGGGTTTTGTTCGTAACCGAACACAAGTGCCAAAGACCTTGGTTACTCAAAAGTAGAGTCACCAAAGTTTTGACCGTCTCGCAATTAAAGCTCTGTCATAGTATTTAAATTTAGTTCATGTTCCATTTCTAGTTGTGCTATTTAATTCAATTATCTGTCTGGCGCTAACTGGTATTTAACCTTCGGAGTTTGTCTGTCAACTTCGGATGACAGCTATTTTATTGTCTCCGACTAACTTTCTGAACTACGGTTACTCACTCAAAAGGATTAATTAACACATCGAAACCGTGTTTTCACATGGCCAGTCAGCAGGCCAAAGTGGGGGAAAAAACCCGCTGGGGATTACATCGTTTTGGCCCTCGACGCTTGCAGAGCCACCAATGCTATGGGAGTTTTGGTTCAATCGTTTTCAATGGGGGATGGTGGCCAAATATAATATAAATCCAAACAATTTCTATTATGCCAGTACGTTAACAGCAGCGCAAATTACAGATTTATCAGAGGAGGTAGACGGGAAAAATCGCCTGGCGTCGGAGCAAACGCTTATATCGAACTTGTATTTGTGTCTGGGGGAGAAAAGACAAGATGAGCTACATAAGAGAAAACCACACCTGGATTTATCTGCAACAAGGTATTCTCGAGTTTTGGATACTATTGAAACCGAATTTCGGAAGGAACGAAACGAAACTTACGAGACATTCCAACTATTGGCACGGAAGCAACAAATAGGAAAATCTCTGGAACAGTTCCACGCAGTGTTGAGTGGGCTGGCCGCTCGATGTAATTTTGGAGCATTGGAGACCAGGATTTTGCGGGATGTGCTCATTGTGAATATGAACAATAGGGAGGCCCAAAATGAGCTATGTCGATCGACGAAGACACCAGAGGAGGTGTATCGTATTGCACTTTCACATGAAGGTGGATACAAATATGCTAAGTCATACGGATCGGTAACCGGGGGAGGAACTAGTGGCACTGCCGGCGGAGCTGGAGCGTTCCAAATCAAGACGGAACCAGTGGGGGCCATCCGAGGAGGTTACAGAAACAACAGACAGCGGGGCCGTGGATCGTTTAGGGGGCGAGCAGAAATGAGAGGGCGTGGTTCCAGAAGATGCTATAATTGTGATCGACCCAATTTTACTCCGGAACACATCAGAACGTGTCCAGCGAAAAATGCAACGTGTAATTTCTGCAGGAAAACGGGACATTACGAGAGGACTTGGAGGGGAAAGCGAAATAATCGGGGAAGACCGGCAGTGGGACTAATCCAAAGTCAGGAAGATATGGAAACTACTGAAATAGGCGACGCGGAGGATACATACTCTCAGCATGAGAATTCCGTTGGCTGGGTTAATACACCGGTCAAGAAGCAACGATCATGGGAATCAGATAGCTCAGGAGATTACGTTGTCATGGCTATCAGATCTCGGAAAGAAACAGACTTAAAAGTGGCCGGCGCCCGATTACCAATTAAGGTAAATGGAAAGCAAACAAACGTTTGGATAGACAGTGGATCACCGATTGCGATATTCACCATCAGGGAATTGAAACGGACGTTGGGCACCGCAGGCGTCAAGGTGAAGGCACCGGCACCGGAGGATGAGGAGTTCAGGGATTACGGAAACAACCCCTTACGACTACTAGGAACGATGGACGTACTGTTGGAAACGAACGGATGGGTGACCAACGCAAACATCAGAGTGATTGGAGGAAGCAGACCATCAATTATTGGAAGAGACCTAATGCCAAATCTTGGATTACAGATAGTGCAGAAGGCACCGGAGAAAAATGTGATGTCGGTACAGAGCGATCAATCTGCGGCCGAGGCAACGGAGGTGGAGGATTTACTAGACAACTGGCAGATCTATTTCAGTAAGCAATTTGAAAATCTTTTTAACAGAGTCGGCAAAATTAAAAATTATAGGGTACACGCGGATTTTTTCGAAACGTTAACACCAATTCAACAAAAAGGACGTAGAGTGCCAATCACATTGCAGGAAAAGGTTGATAAGGAAATTGATAAATTTTTACGACAAGGACACATTGAAAAGCTGAATGAATGTTCGGATAAATATTTTGTTTCCCCGATTGTAATAACAGTGAAAAAGGACGGATCAGTAAAATTAGCGCTAGAATCACGGGAGTTGAACAAGCAAGTCCACAAGAACAAATACCAAATGCCGAATATTGAAGAGCTTATGGATACGGTAGGACAAACGATAAGCGAACGGAAACCAGGCGATGTATATTTTTCTACCATGGATCTTACGTACGCTTACGGTCAATTACCACTTAGCCCGGAAACGAGCGTTCAATGCAATTTTTCGCTGGTGGGAGGAAAACCAACGGGCACGTATCGTTTTCGTACGGGGTTCTACGGCCTTACAACCATGCCAGCGGAATTTCAACGAGTTATGGATGCAATCCTTTCGGAATTTCCGCAGGCACATGCATTTATTGATGACATTTAGGTGGTCACCAAAGGCACGGAGATTGAGCATATCTCGACAGTTGAGAAAATTTTGCGGAAGCTGGATCGCGAGAATATGTCACTTAAGCTCACTAAATGCCAATTTGCGCGGAGAGAATGTGAATGGTTGGGGCACAAAATAACTCGTACCGGAATAACACCGCTCGTCCGAAAAACGGAACCGATCGAATCGCTAAAAGCACCAAAAACGGTGTCACAACTTAAATCGTTTATGGGCTCCATTCACAGCCTGCACAAATATCTTCCGGCGCTCGCGGAATCATCAGCGTCATTACGCCCATTATTAAGCCGGAAAAACGATTATATTTGGAGCGATGAATGTCAAATATCATTCGAAAACCTGAAAAAGCAAGTGGCTAATATAGTAGAACTCCGGCACTTTGATATACACCGAGACACAAGAATTAGTAGTAGCGATGAAATAGAGGAGATTGATGTGGATATGCAGGCGGTTACAACAGAAGTCCGGAGCACTAAAACAAATACTATTATTTCCATTCCGTCGGTTTACCCTGGCGAAAGTTATCCACCCGTTAATCCGGAAAATAGGGTCATGTCCATTATTCCAAGAAATTGCAAAATCGTCAGTAAACAAACCGCTCATCCCGAATTGTTTAATCTTCGATTTATAGAATCACAATACAATTCAGATCCACAATTACAAGCCATTATCGAGTTAATTAAATGTAAAGACCCTCAAATACACTTAAAAATTGCAGCAATGAGTAAGTACTTTGCACAGTAAACTCAAGACTTTCACGTAAGAGACGGATGCCTGTGGATGGACGAGAGGCTAGTGATCCCTAACATCTTGCAAACGGCGGTGGCCAATAGACTTCACTATTATCACCACGGGAAATCAAGTATGTTCGACGCGGCTAAAGACATCTGGTTTCAAGCTCATAAAATTACATCGATGATTGGGAAAAAAATCTCTATAATAAACATTTTCCCATAAATGGAAAGTGTATGACTAACATTTTTGTGAAAATTGAAAATTGTATGACTAAAAATTTGTCATTTATGAGAATTGTATTACAAACAGTTTTCGGAATTTCTTTTCAAATGCGGCTCAAATTACATTAAAGCCCAGCTAATAAGCCATGCAATCTCTGAACAGAGAAGAAAACCTGATTAAACGATTAAATTACATAATTATAGGGCTTTATTACCTATCTGCAATCCATAATAGCGCTAAAGGGTGACAAATTCTAGAAAAGGTTGCTTGCATCAAAGCATTTCCGAGAGAAAAAAAATTAAAAGGAATTTTTGAAAGAATTATTCCTTATGGCGAAAATGCTTGTCATACAATTTTTTTATATGGAAATTGTACGGTAAGCATTTCAAAAAAATTAAGGCAGTTTTTTTCCGTTACTAGCTTGTTCAACTGTTCTCAAAGAACCGCGGAAATTGTTTAGTTTTTATTTTCTATTGTTTTTCGAAATTGTATGAAAATTGTATGACAAACAATTTATCCATACGCTTGATGTATGGAATTGTATGATAATGATTTTTGTTGAATGGACTTGTATGATAAGCATTTTCGGTGTATGGAGGTCAACCCGGCTAATCGGCTTAAGCTTTGAAACGCTTCAACTTATTTCTTCTTCTTACACCAAATCGGTTCACAAAAAGTTTTTGTTTTTTCGAGCTATTCAATTCTTTTCCGCGTCCATCATTCGAAATTTCCAAAATTCGCCCTCGCCCGAAACTTTTCCCATCATTGATTCTCGTCTACCAATTGGTCTTTTTGCTCTTCTATAAGCAACTAGGATACGGCTACTTGACTTCGTTTTCTTTCAAGGAAAACTCTTCTTTGCTTTTTTTCAAACTTTCTTGTAATAGTTGAAAAAGCTGCTCTGAATCCTTTTCGCGTCCTTGAATTTCTTTTGATGCCTTTTCCAAACTGTATATTTTGTAATTCAATTTTTCGTTTTCTTATTGGACTTCGTCTGTTTTGTGTGAGTCCAATTCTTTTCTACAATATATTCATTTTCTGCCTTTGAAGCTTTTTTTCAACCTTGAGACGGACATTTTGAAATCAAAGCATTCGATTGCTTTTTGCTTTCAAAAATTTCTGACTCGTAAATTGATTCCAGCTTGTTCTTTTTTCCATTTGTTAATTTCAGCTCGTTGTCACTGTTTTGTATCTTTGCTCCCATTGAGTTGAAAATATCCCAACTTCCTGCAAAACAGTTATCTCGGGAATATTAAACCTATCAAGCTTGGTCATCATTGATTGAATAGCCTCCTTGTAAGTTCTTATTGAGCTCGTTAAACTTTATTTTCAATTTGTCGAAACTTTGGGTAATTTCAGTTAATTTTACTTTTTCGGCGACTGCGTTCTTGTATTTTTGAGACCTCTTCTAAGTTTTCTATTTTCTTCTCTGCATTTCGCAATCCAAGATTTGAAAGTCGAGCTTTGAGTGCCTCGATTTTGTGCGACTCTAAAACAACCTCAATCTTCATTTTTACTTTCAGCTGCCTTGAAGTACCTTTCAGCTTCCTTTGTTTTCTCTTGCGCCGAATTTAATTCCTCTACAATGGCAGATTTTTCCTTGTTAGAATCGGCGTATTTTGCGACTAACGATTCAAGCTCATCTCTCAAAACACTCATTTCACCAGGAGCTTCATTTTTAGACTCATTAAGTTCTGAGTTTTAGCTAAGGCTGGGGTTAAATTATAAGCTCGTAGTTCTTCATTATCCTTGACGTGTTGGTAACAACTATCCATTAGATCGTTTATTTGAGCTGTGAAAAGACGGTTTCGATGTGTTAATTAATCCTTTTGAGTAAGTAACCGTAGTTCAGAAAGTTAGTCGGAGACAATAAAATAGCTGTCATCCGAAGGTGACAGACAAACTCCGAAGGTTAAATACCAGTTAGCGCCAGACAGATAATTGAATTAAGTAGCACAACTAGAAATGGAACATGAACTAAATTTAGATACTATGACATTTTCCTCCTTGTAATGATTAATGACTCTAATCAAATATCCAATGCATCTATGTTAACAGTAATCAATAGGGTTAATAACAAGTTTTGTCAATCAGCTACAACACCTTAAAAACACAAACTTTTGAGTTTTTGCCGTTACACAGCATGCCCTCTCCCTGGACCTCCATATGATAAGTTTTGTAAATTGCTTATGTAAGTTTGTTACTCATATTTCCTTTCATTTTTCTCCCGACTTATCCGTCTTATGTATGTTGTCAATCATGACTGCCCCCATCTTAGTCACTGCAGTTCGCTTTCTCCCCGACCGTCTAGAACTAGTTTCATCCAGTGAACTAGCTGAATCCTGACTTGAGTAAGAAACAAGTCGTTGTTTCCGGCCCCGCTTTTTCTCCTTCGTTTTTGGAATATCTGGAAATTGTTCCGGTTCCGCGTCGCGTTCCGTCTCCTGTGCAGTGATTCCTCCGTTATCTCCCTTCTTTTTGTTTTCTGCGATTTCCCGCTCGCGTGCAATCGTGTAGTCCGTTGCTGTCTGGTAGTTACTGGGTCGAGTCGTTATGATTTCAGGTTGTATCTGGTCCTGTCCCCCACTAGACGTTCCTTGTCCCTCTTCCCCAACGTTCATTCCCCCGCTTGTCGGTGCCTGCTTTGATGTAATTATCGGCAAATGGTCCTCCGCGTCCGAGTCTGAGTCCTCCTCTAATTCCAAATTTTGGAATCGTGACTTCTTTCCCGCGGTGCTCTTGAAAGTTCCCCTGGTGCCTTTTGAGCTGCTTGGCTGGTTACCACTCGCTAGTAACTTTCTTTTCAGGTCCCATGGCGTTGGTGGTGTCGCGATTTGTCCCGGTGCCCGTTTCTTTGGAACTTTTGCCTTCCTTAGTGCTACTCCCGATTTTCTAAGCACAGCCTCATTACTCATTTCAATAGTATGCTTACTTTGATTAACTATGTTAGAATTTAGTGGTCTGTACCTATTTAAATTCCGCTCCCCAGTCCTCTGCATTACCACTGCCGGTGGTATTTCTACTGGGTCGTTTGGTGCCCGTGCAATTCCAGGCTCGTCATCCTGGTTAGCGGCTTGGTCATCGGCCAATTTCAGTGGTCCTCGTCTATTTTTCAGGTCGTACTCAGTGTCCGATCGGATTCCCCAGTTTGTATCCATCGGCTCCGGCATTGCTTGGGCGATTGGGTCTCGTTCATCTAAACATTCAGATTTCGATCGCATTACATTTTCCCAATTTAGGTTCCGTAAAGTAGGTTTTTTAGTCAAATTTCTGAGGACCGTGTTAGCTTCCCAGCCGTGGTGCGCTTCGAACGGTGTTATGTTGAGAGTGGCGTTTTTAACAAATCTTAGAGCTCCAAGGGCTCTTTCGACCATTCGGTCCAAGGGTTCCGCTTTATCCTCCCGCGCATACGTCAGCACTGAATTCTTGATAATACCAATCGTGCGTTCGACACATCCTGTTGCCCTATGATCATTCACTGGCGAGGTGAGGATTTCAATTCCTTGTTCATGACAAAATGCCTTAACTTCCTTAGACATAAAGTTTGTTCCCAGGTCAACTCTAATTTGTCGCGGGACTCCATGGGCAATTATGTAAGCTTTTAAAAATTTGATAATTTTATCCGATCGATTCGAATTACAGACCATAGCTGATGGCCATCGTGAAAACCGATCCACCGCCACCAAAACGTACTTTTTAGACTCCTTCAAGTAGTTAATGGGTCCCCAAAAATCCAGTTGTACCGATTCATTCGGTTCTTTTGGCTCAGGTATTTTCCCTATATCATTCTTTGAACACATATTTTTTTCAAGTTCTTACCCGCTAATGTGCATTCCTGACAATTCCCGGCGATAGTTGCTAGGTTACGGAACATGTACGGGTACCAGATGTCTTTAGCCGCGTCGAACATACTTGATTTCCCGTGGTGATAATAGTGAAGTCTATTGGCCACCGCCGTTTGCAAGATGTTAGGGATCACTAGCCTCTCGTCCATCCACAGGCATCCGTCTCTTACGTGAAAGTCTTGAGTTTACTGTGCAAAGTACTT